ACACACACACACACACACAAAGGGGGTCCGAAATCCCCCGACAGGTGAGTGCGCTGGGGGGGCCCGGCCCCCAACCGAGTGCCCTGCCCGGCCAGGCCGCCCGGGACCTCCCCCGGGCCCCTGCCGGTCACCCGAGCGGCCCGAATCCCCACTCAGAAAAAAAGTCCTTTTGTCTTTTTTTCCTTCTGCAGATTCCGACTTCTTTATTTGAGATCTGTTGGGATCCGCATTAAAACTATGAAGGCGCAATTTTTATTTTTTTTGTCGGGGGAAGGGGTCAAGCTAAGAAGATTATGGACCGGCCCCCAACCGGGTGCCCTGCCCGGCCAGGCCGCCCGGGACCTCCCCCTGGCCGCTGCCGGTCACCCGAGCGGCCCGGATCCCCACTCAGAAAAAAAGTCCTTTTTTTTTTTTTCCTTCTGCAGATTCCGACTTCTTTATTTGAGATCTGTTGAAATCCGCATCAAAACTTTGAAGGCGCGATTTTTATTTTTTTTGTCGGGGGGAGGGGTCAAGCTAAGAAGATTATTTATCTGACCTCCACGAGGCCCAACGACTTCAATTCAACTCTATAGGGGTTCGTGGACTTCACAAGCAGTTAGAGCCACGACACCCAAGAGGCTGAATTTGATATGCTGATGGGAGATTCCTTGCCCAAACTTAGTCTTGCACAGTATCCTGTCCGACAGCAGAAAGTTGTGGGATCAGGTTTCAGCTCGTGCAGGCAGAGCCATTCTGTTTGTTTTTCTTTTTTTTCTTTTTTTTTTTCTGTTTGTCTTCTTTCAATGTGCTGTGGTTCAATAGTCCGGAAGTAGATTGGCTGGCAGTCTATCCAGATACCTGGCGGAGCGATGTCCATTCCTGGGCTTGCACCTCGGACATCACAGCTATTCGGACTTCACAACACCCAAACCCAAAACTTTTTGCCCAGAGCGCAGGGCCATCGAAGAAACATATAAGCTCAGCAAGCCACTACTGAAACACCATGCTGGCTCACAGTGGACAAGTGTAAGGACCATTCAATAACGTCTGGTCTGTGGTCCGTTGGACCACACATTGCTAAAATAAGGAAGAGCGGCCTATTGGACCCCTCATGGTGAAAAAAAAAAATGCAGTGGTTCTGATCTGCAAAAATCAGCAGGCGGAGATCCTCCGCCTATTTTTTCAACAAGTGGGGTCCGAAAGACCGCATTTGTTTTTTAAGGGAGGCAGTGGGCCCCTGGGGTCTGGGCAGTCGTTTGGATGCCCGTGACTCCCGGTACCCCCCCCTCCCCCAGCGTGATGCGTTGGGTTGGACCGGGGGCCTGCTGGACCGGTGCACCCCCCGGTCCAACTGGCAGGCTCCCGGTCGGGGGAGGGCCCCGCGGTCCATCCAGGGGACCAGCACTGGTTAGTTCTTGATTTCTCATACTAACTTCCAAAGGTTGTGCACAGTCATTAAAGTGACAGAGAACCTGGAGATTTATTCTCAGTTCTTTCTAAGAAATGACATTTCATATCAAACCACCAGTTCACACACCCCTCCTCCAAAACTCACAGCTGTATACACGCCACAAAATGGAAGGCTCGCCGTACCAAGGGTGTTTAGAAATTTTGAGTACCAAACTTTGGCAATTTCTTATTCTGATCTCCAGTGACGAAAAAAAATCAGGGATGCTGGGTAGTTTTTCTCGGCACCTGGGCACGCAACTTGCGCCTGGATACACGCCCAGGTGGTTAGGCATGACCCCCGGGCAGGGTTCCGGGCAACCCCAGCGCAAAGAAAAGAAAAATCCGGAAAAGGGGGGTGTAGAATTGCAATGCAAGCTGACAGTCAATTCTCCACAATGCTGGAGCAATCAATGCTGTCCAGGGGTCCTTCGGCCAGATGGAAGGAAGCATGAGGGTGTCTCATATTGTAATTTCTGACTTGCCGGAGGAAGAGGAACCGGACTGATGCTCCCCAGAATGGATATGGATTTTTCTTTTTTTTTTAAATAATAATTAAAAATAAAAATAAAAATAAAATAAAATAAAATAATTGCAATGCAAACAACTTTTGGCTGACGGTGACAACAGAATTCCTCACCAAATCGAAGATAAAAAAAACAAAAAAAAAATAGACTAAGCACCCCCCTTTAAACCCCTTTAGCCCCTTCAAAACCAACTTATACCCCCCTTTACCACCCTGGACAGCCAACGCTCAAAAGAAAAAGAGCTTGGGGATCCTCTGGGTATGCGCTTCAAACCCCCACCGCCAAAAACAAAAACAAAAACAAAAATCCACCACGCTTTTTTCCCGTGCCTGGGTGCCCGGCCGGGCAGGTCCGGCTGGGGGCAGGAATCTTCCCGGCAGGGATGTAGATTACCTTCAGCCGCATCTGGGAAAAAATGGAAAAAAAAAAAACCTTTGCTTAGTCGGGATTGTGGATTCTTGGGGAGCCTTGGGTAGGAAGACATCATGCTTAGGATAGGGGAGGGCAGGATATCGCATCTTAGTGGAAGGGCGGTTCACTGCCCATAGAGTCTGCGGTATGAGGCACGGATGGGGGATTACTGCTATGCATGGACCCCACCTGTGCCCGGGTCGTCCTCAACATTAGCGTTAGGGTAGTGTCTCGGGTTAGTCCGGTAAGCGTTGGTGCAGATCACGACTTACGATCTGAGCATTAGCATAGGTCATGGTACCATGGTGTCATCTTGACGTGACTCCCCCTGGGTCCCTGCAATCCATCTGACCTCCCAATGAATGGGTACAGCGGGCACCTCCTGAGGCCTGGCAACCACCCTCTACTATACCCTGGAACTTTCGTATAAAGGGAAAAAAAAGGAAGAATGTGCGCCGAACTGGGCTACCGACTGGGAGGCCTGCATCACGTTGGATCCCTGGGCAGCCCGGTCAACTTGGTTGCCCAGGCAAGAGCCGGGGAAGGTCCCTGAAGAAAGAAAAAACATCCAAAATTTTTTTTGGAAAAAAAGTATGTTACTGTAGCTTTCCAGCCCGGGCGCCCGGGCCACCCCAGGTCGCGTGGAAGGGCACTCGGGGCGCCCAGCCGTGCGACCCCCCCCCGCCAGGCACCTGCGGCCCCAGAGCCCGCCCCCTGAATCACTTTTAAATAAAAACTTCCGTGCCGTGGGCTGGAGGCCCAGAGGAGTTTTTCTTTTTGGCGGCGGCCGCAAAATTTCCCTGGGTCAGGTAGGTGCGACGCACAAGGCCTCGATAAGCCCTACTGGGCCTCTATTTGCAACAGCGTCGTCCGCTCTAAGTGAAGGCAGGCTCAACAGACCCCAAGAGGCCTATTTTGGACTACTACGCAACTGGGAAAATTCAGGCAGTTGCGCAGCGCCAGTCGGTTGAAAGCACCCTGGGCCCAGGCTGCCTTTCATTGCATGTAACTGAGGCAAGGCCTGGGCCGGATACACAAAGTGGACCGAACAAAGGCTGAGTGCAGTTGGGTGCTTGTAACCGCCTCAGGCCCTGGGTCTGTTTCCTTCGGACTGAGGCTCAACCTCCCTGGGCCTACCGGAAGCTTCTGGGCCGGGGCCCAGTACAGCAGCACAGCACACAGCAGCAGGCCACTTCGATATAGGGAGGGGCCTGCCCACGCATTGGACATTCGGGCACTGGCTGCATGCTGCGCAAGCGCTGCTGTGCTAACGCTGGCCAGGCTCACGCGCTCACGGGCGAGCTGGAAGGAGCAGGCAGCCATAGCCGAGCTCTGCTGTATGTTGGATGGGGCGCATCGTGGTCCTTGGGCGCAAGTGGCATCTGTGAGTTGGGGAACGAGGTTATGAGTGATATGAGAGACATACCTGGTGCTTGAAGCATGCGGCATTGGCCGAGATCTGTTCGTACTTCGGGGAGCTGTTGACGTCATCAGCGGCATTGTAGAGTAGGCTAGATAGGATCTGCCATCTGTAGTCTGGGCGCCGAGTGCCAGATAGGACATCAACATTGGTTCTTCGTTGATGATGATGACGAGACTACTCCAGCATTGTCAATTATGAGCTTTTGGTGTGCTCTTATTTGGTGAAACTCGTGATGCAATTCTGCTTTTGGTTCAAGGTCACGACTATCTGGTCTCATGTGTATAATGCTGTTTGATTGCTGAAGTTCGCTATTGCTCATCTTCCTTGCAGTTCGGTGCGCTAATCTGGCGCTTATCTTCTTCCTAATGCGGTACATGCACGAGGTGTGTACGGTGAGCGACTGTGCCGTGGGACGTGTGTAGTGAGGAGGGCGAAGATAAGTGGCGACCCAGGAGGTGAGGGGTATCGCCAGGAACCTCCATAGCCATCCTCAACCTTTCTCCTATCTCTGCTACACTTGCCAACCCCACCTCAACCTCCATAGCCTTTCCCAGCCCTTCTCCTACCTTTGCTGCATGTCCCAATCCCACATCGACCTCATAGGCATCCCCAACCCTTCTCTTACCCCGGTGCACCTGCTGCCCCTCCATAGCCATCCCCAACCCTTCTCCAACCTGCGCTGCACCTCCCAACCCTACCTTAGCCTCCTTCGCCATCCCCAACCCTTCTCCTACCTTCTCTGCACCTCCCAACCCCACCTCAACCACCATAGCCATCCCCAACCCTTTGCCTACCTCTGTGCACATCCCAAACCCCACCTCAACCTCCAAAGCAATACGTAACCCCCACCTCAACCTCCATAGCAATATCTAACCCCCACCTCAACCTACATAGCAATACCTAACCCTTCTCCGACTCCCCCTGCACCTCCCAATCCCACCCCAACCTACATAGCCGTTCCCAACCCTCCTATCTCCACTGCACTACCCAACTACACTCCAATCTCCATAGCCTACCGCTATCCCTCTCTTACCTCCGCTGCACTATACCACCCTTCCCCTACCTCAACCCCTTACCTCAACGCTTCTCTTGCATTCCCTGCAATAACCAACCCTTCCCAACCTCCATAGCTCATCTCATGCTTCTCCTGCCTCCGCTGCACCCCTTAAACATTCCCCAATCTCCATTGCCAGCCTTCACCTTCAACCCTCCATCCACCTCCAACCAACCTCCATAGCCAGCCCTTACCATTACCATCACCTTCAATCCTTAGCTGTCCACCTCCATCACACTGGACCTTCTTCCCCCTTCACTCATTCCCCATAGATGTCCACCTCCTTCAACCTTCACCTTCTTCCACCTTCACCCAACCTCCATAGCCGTCGGCATCCATCACTCTTCACCCTCATTCGCCTTTACCCATCCTCCATAACCATCCATCTCCCTCTCCACTCATCTTCTTCCACCTACACCCATCCTCCATAGCCATCCACCTCCCTCTCCCCTCATCTTCTTCCACCTACACCCGTCCTCCCTAGCCAACCACTTTCTCCATCCATCACCCTTCACTTCATCCACCCTCAATCCTCCATAACCATCCACCTCCCTCTCCCCTTATCTTCGTCCACCTACACCCATCCTCCACAGCCAACCACCTTCCCCCCCCATCACCCTTCACTTCATCCACCCCACTCAACTTCCATCGCCATCCATATCAACCCTTCACATTCCTCTACCTTCACCCATCCTCCATAGCCATCTGCCTCCCTTACCCCTAATCTTCTTCCACCTTCACCCATTGTCCACAACCAACCACATTTTTCCTCTGTCACCCCTTCACATTCTCCCACCTCCACCTAACTTCATATCGATCAACTTTCTTCCTCCCTCATCTCTTGCTTTCTTCCACTTCCACCCGACTTCGGTAATCACTTGCATCTTCATTCAATTGTCTGCCTACAGCCCTCCTTACCTTTGTAGATTTCTGCTTAGCAAGCCTAAAGCAAGATCTTGAACTTGATCATTTTGATTACCCTCCTTGTTATTTTAAACTAAATGTAGGCGTTGCAGCAGTACCATTTTTTTGCCCTTGATACCATCACGTTTACATTTTTCAGTCCCTCAAACGTTTTCCATGCGTATCTTTGTCATACTGACACATGCTGGGCATAACCCTGGATTCGCCTAGCCGCCAGTTTGTTCCGCATATATGTACCATTCGTAGACATCCTGTGTCATATGCTGGTGCAAACCATTGCATCTGAGTTGCTCGTCCAGCTGAGTTCTGCGTCAGACCTGCACGAAATCGAGTTGATGGTGGTACTCTTCTCTGAGCATCCGGTCATCGCCCCAGTCCAGTTCTGTGCCAGTCTGTGTGAGTGTGTGCTCATTCCCTTTCAGTTGAACGTAGTGTATGTACTATGTAACACTTGGACAGGTTCCTTTCCATGCATCGATCTTCCTGAGGGTCCAAACAATTTGTGTATTTCACGTTGAATACAACAAAATTTGTCGCCCACTTCTATGCTGGCATCTTTGCCAGCTGAGTTCAAGGGAAGCGGTGACATAAATCCATTATATCATCTCATTCCTGTCGTCCAATTATTCTGCAAAGAACACTCCTCTGAAAATTAGGGTTCTGCGAAGTACAGTGCTTTGGAACATAGGGGATTACACGAAGGTAAGATGACGGAAGTGACACAGTGCTTCAAGAAAAGAAAGAAGGCAACCAATCACTTCACTCATGACTTCCTAAGAGAGATACAGCACTTCTGGATTTCATACAAAACATTACAAGTGAAAGGCCTTCCACGATTTAGACCCCAAATCCGGATCTCAGGGTCAGATGTTCAGGTCAAGGAAAGGCCGAGTCTGTCAAACTCAGAAAAGTCACAATCGGGTACCTCAGCAGTCTGGTCCAACAGCCACCCAACAAAAAGTCACATCTCAGGGACAAGAGTCACGTCTCATAATAAAAGCCATTCAGAGGAGTCACGTTTCCTAATGACAAATCATATTGAAGAGTCACATCCCACGAATAAAGGCAGTGCCACAGGCAAAAGTCGTGACCCACAGGCAGGAGTCACTATCCACAGTCAAAAGTCATGTTCCCAAATGAAAAGTCATGACCCAAAGGTCCAAGCGGCAGCAGACCCATGGAAATTCGGGAAGGTTCCAGGCCTTGACATTCAGAAGCAGACAGGCCGTAGGGATGTGGTACCAGGACCAGTCAGGCCCCAGGAAGCAGAAGCTGGCACGAGTTGAAGTGCATTCCAAGACTACAAAAGGACTGGCCAGCCTACCATTCGGGCAGATGCTCATTCGCACGAGAGTGTGGAAGTGCTTGTGCACTTGTGCGCTAGTGTGGGAGCTGCGCTAAGCCAGAGAGCAGCGCTGAGTGAGATGAGAGAGAGGAAGTAGATGCTGGCAGGGACGAGGGCAGCCATAGCTGCGCCAACACTAGGAAGCAGTATAGTTAGTAGTTAGTAGTCGTAGAGCAGTGAGTAGTATTCAGAGTTGATCCTCATGTGTGTGTTAGTAGTAGGGAGTGCGCATGTGAGAGAGGAAGAAGACTGTGTAGAGAGAGAACACCAGAATCATCAAGTGAGAGATAGATAAGAGAGAAAGAGGGTGAGACATGGTGGCTACTTACCTGAAGAGCGCTGAACTTGGTGAGGATGACGAGCGCTGATGAGCGCAGATGTTGAGACTCTTGATGATTGAAGAAGACTTGTAAACTTGTTGAGCGCTGGACAGTTGAACTCATGATTCTCTCACTATAATTTGGTTGTGATAATTGAGCTGCGTTTTTCTGGTCTACTACTCATCTTCTCTTTGTGCAAGTGTGTGACAAGACAATCTGTGTGACATGCATATTGGTATGAACACTCCATTGTGTGGTGAGCTTTGAGGCTCATTACACAAGCAACAAACTTTCTGCGACATTCCAGCAGGGCTCGACCCCTCGGCCTCCTGCTGAATGGGATGGCCAAAGCCCACCCTGTTTCCAATTGTGCACTCCCATTTGGAATTGCCCCACTCACGTTTGGAATTGCCCACTTCCGTTTCCCAGTACCCGCTAGTGCATAAACCACATTTCATAATGTCCACCCGCTACAGTCCTGCTTTTCACTAGTAGCAGCTCACAGTGCCTGCCTACTGCAAACCCTCGCTGCAAACTGCCTTGCACAACGTCCCCATCGACAAACTTCGAATTCAAAGCGGAAACTTGATGGGAAGCCTGTTCGCTAGTCCGATTTGATCAATTGAATGCATGTTTGGCACTGAGTTTGTTCCTGGCACACACTAGAGTGACTATCCATTGTTCAGCCGAGCGCAACATTAGAGTCTCCATACGAGTGCACATGGTCTCCCCACTTCTGCGGCCACCAATACTTATAACAGTTTCAGCAATTTGTATTCTTCGTTCTGGCTAAGAGCAGGATGGGAAGCTCACCACTGATACTTTATATCCTTCTTGTATCGGTCCCAAATGCTGAGGCTTGCTTCATTTGTGGGAGGCATATCCACAGCAGTCAAGATCTCCCCTTCCATGGCTTTCCCGATAATTGTGAACGACTCCACAACTGGAAGGTCTGCAATGACCATAGACTGATAATATTAGGGAAGTGAGGAGATTAACAGTCTGTTCAAGACCTCAAAAAAGTGTGAAGATTGAAAACAGCAACACAAAGCCATGCCTCACTCAAAGTTTAAAGTTGCAACAGCATCCAGCCAGCATCATTGCGACACTCAGTTCGGCCACATCATCACTTTGTTCCTGTCCATTCCATGAAGCAAGAGTCAAATTTAGGACAATGATAATCATTGCAACTCGAGAAGAAGAAGAATGAGATCAGGAGAGAAGAAGAATGAAGGAAAGAAAATAAGAAGAACACAAGTGTTAACCAATGCCATCTCCCTCCTCTTGAGTCCATCCTCTCCCTCGCATAATCACCTCCTCACCAGGCTCCCCTTGATTAACGATGAAATACAACAAGAAGGGCAAGTGAAGCTCCGCCCGCATCACAAAGGAGGTTGGTGCATGGCAATTACTAGAAGTGCAAGGCATATGAGTGTGAACGATATACAGAAAACCAAGTTGCGAGATCACACAGATGTCCAAGTAGTCGTGTCCAAGCAGAGAGTACAAATGCACCGAGAAACCATCCATATACAGCAATACAATGAAGTAATGAGCCAATGTTCAAGCCCGTCGGCCACACCAACACAGTATCCAAAGTCGCTCCTCTCTGTCTGGTGCCCAGCGCCCAGCCTACTCTACCCGACTATCCTACCTACAGCTGTGTTCACTCAACAGGCTCACTTCGACTCTCGAAGACCAATGTACATGACTGTCAACACCATAGCCGACCTCTCTTCATGCACCAGGTACGCATCTCGTCACCCTCAATCAGACCTTGATATCCCACTCTTCGCCTCCTTCCCTGAAGACCACCAGATCACCTGCATTACCCCCTGGCGCCCAGCAGCCCGGCTATGGCCGCCTGCGCCCCGCTGCCCTGCAGTGCCCCACTTCACCTCTACGCGGCCCGTCAGCGCCCTTGGCCGCACTGCAGCATCAAGCAGTAGTGCAGCAGCACTTCCGCATTGCCTGTGCAGGCCAGAATGCCTGGCCTGGGCTGCCTCACTTCTTTTATGGAAGTGGCAGCCTCCTGGGTGCTGCGTGTGACCTGGCTGGAGGCTTCCAGTAGCTTCCGGTTGGGCCTCAGTCCCTGCGCCCAGGCCCGAGCCTACAGTTGAGGGCCTGAGCCCCTTTTACAGTTGGGCACGGCCTGAGTCTCCGGACTTGGGCTGTTTGCTGCATCTGTGCAGGGCTCCCAGGTAGGTGCGTCGACAGTACTGCTTTTGCATAGGCCGATGGCCTGCTTCTCAATGTATCGGCCCTGCTTTGTGTGTATGTGCCCAGGCACAACTGTCAAGGCCTGGGCCAACTGTACAATGCAGCTTAGTGAGGCTCGCGCATCCATTCAACCAACTGGCGTGCTGCAAGAGCCTGAATACCCACATACAAAAGTGTCAAATTTTGGCCTTCGACGAATATTCAGGCCCGCCTTCACTTAGGCCAGGCACTTGGCTTGCTGGGGGCCTTTTCCCAGAACATGTGATGCCTGATAGGGCCCCGTGAGGGCGTGTTCCTCGCAGACGAATCAATGGGACTCAAACATAAATCAGTTTTCGGAGCACGATTTCAGATTGCCCGGCAGCCTTGCACTTCCATACCGGCTGCTTAGTCGCATGCCCGTCCAGAGAGCTAAAAGAGCCTTCTCCAACATCAATTGCTTTGAGACTAACCACACATGGCACCATTCACACACCAATCTCACAGATATGCACACATATGAAACACACGTGAGATATGAATTCGAAGATTGTCTCTGACAATCAATTCAATCACACAAATTGTCTTCGTACGTGTTGGGTGGCTATGGTCGCCAGGCAGTCCGCATCACACAATTCTCTCTCTCTCTCTCTCTCTCTCTCTCTCTCTCTCTCTCTCTCTCTCTCTCTCTCTCTCTCT